AGTGGGTATTGAGATTACCATCTCGTAAAACTCCTAAGGTGCATAGGTCGGTCAAAACCTACTTAACCTCCTTAGAGAGCCCAAGGTACACAGGTCTATTAAGCTCGACCCGACCTCCTAAGAGAGCTTGAGGTGAGCTTGATGTGTATAAGTTGGCCAAGCTTGACCTGACCTCCTTAGGAAGCACCAAGGTACCTACCTCGACATATGCCTAAGGTAACTTCCTCTACCATTCCCCAAGGCAACCACTTTAGCTAAGTACTCGAGATCGTAACCAAATCAAATGATACCTTAGGTGAGCAAGTCGGCAAATATCTTGAGTGTCAAAATACCTACTCTTAATCTAGATCTTCATGTAGATCATTGTCAAACCACATAAACGCATCCACATCAACTTTCATAATACCTCTAGAATCAGTTCAATGACACCTCAGTGCACATATAGTTGAATCATATTGGATTGACTCGAATATCAATGATATTTTTTCTAATAGATTTATTTGATTTCAGATATAGATTATAATATATATATATATATATATATATGTTTTACTATTTAGATTTGAAGCATACATACAGACTAATGCTCACGATTATATAAGTATCAAATTAGTTTAAATTTACTTAGTTTTTAATTAGGATAATGAATAAGATGACCTTCTAGAAGAGGTTCATGTTTCTTTTGTTGTGGTAAGAGTAAATTATTTAACTCATAATTTCATATTTTTAGTACCTATAAATATATTTGTCCAATTGACACATCTTAACAAATCAATATTTAACTTATTAAATTCTTAATCATGGTCAATGGCCCACTAGAGACATCGAGTCTTTCAACGTATCAAATAGATTATATATATAAAAGATTAAAATGATGAGTTAGGTTGGATTAGCTTTTCATATAAATTTGAGAATCAATTTTAATACTAATACATCCACTTGGCCTTCAAACACGAGTGTGGATTGAAAGAAATGGAAGAAGTTTTATGGGGTGTCTAACTTTCCACCGGAAACCAATCAAACATTTAGTTGCCGTCACAAAAGCCCCCCACACGAAAAGGTAGATCGCCTCAATGCCACAAGTTTCACAAGTATCAAGCTTTCATCTGTCAATTCGAGACAGACGGTGACAAAATATGGACGAAGACATTTCAACCAATGGGAGGATGAGTTCATGGATTATGTTTCCATCCTCCCATGATGAGAAATGGAGAATCGACCACGTCTTCCCCCTCTATCACATCTCCTTATCAGTGGCCCGATTCATCTCTTCCATCTCCATTATTGTTTCTGACCTTTTACCACTTTGGCCTTCCATGACTCCAAAACCTTTAATGACTTGAAGTCGAATTTTGCACAAACACCATTGAAAGTTTTATATTTCAACATATAAACTCTTACGGAGAAAATACATATCCAACGTAATAGTATGAGTATGATAAGATTGAATATGTAGACTAACGTTGAATTGTTTTTTTATTTTATTCTCTTGGAATAGTCTCAAAAAAATATCTTTGATGATACTAGTGATTTGTGGCTTAGTATTTGGCTTTTTTACTCCTCAATTAATATGAGATCATATTTAATTAATATTAAATTTTATTTATATTTTTTGAATAATATGTATACATGATATATCTTAATTCTGAATCATATTATTATATGATCAGATTCAAATGAAATACTCTGATGGTGTTCATTATAAAATATGATTCAAGTGTTTATTACTATCTATTATAATAATTAATTTTAATTAAAATATAATTTAATTATAAAAATGATGAATTTGATGGTGATAGTACATAAGAAAATAATAAATATATTTAAGAATTATAATTCCGGAGAAATCATTGAACAAAAATTGGAAGCAATAAACTAATAACCTTTTAAGTTAGGGGTTATATGCAAAAAAAGAATGGATTTCTAGAATGTTTGAGGGTGGATTCGTAATTTCGGGTCACTAACCGTCGTTTTAATGGATGCGAGCGGTTCGTTGACGGTCACCGGTGGTGAACGGAACAGCGGTCCGGTCACCGCAACAGCAGGCTTTGATCTCCTCTTTCCTCGCGCTCCAAATTAATACTCGCCACACGAAAATATCGCCTCGGCACAGCGACCGCCTCGTCCTCCCGTCGGTGGCGGTGATACCCAGCGCACCACCACCACCACCTAATGGCCGGAGCGGCGTTGGCGGCGTCGTCGGCGGAGGAGGGCCGAGGAGGATGGAGCAGGGAGGACGACAAGGCCTTCGAGAACGCCCTGGCGACGATAGCCCCGCCGCCGAAGGAGGAGGAGGAGGAGGAGGGGGGCTCGGAGGGTGGCGAAAGCGGTGGCGGTGACTGGTGGGAGTTGATCGCGGCTAGAGTCCCGGGAAAGACGGCGGCGGAGGTGAGGCGGCACTACGAGGCGCTGGTGGAGGACGTGAATGCGATCGAGGCCGGACGGGTCCCCGTCCCCCGCTACGTCGGGGAGGAGGCGCCCTCGGGTTCGACTCCTACAGCGGTCACGCATTCATCCAAGGAGAAGCAGCCACAGCATCACCAAGATCATAACAGCCACCACGGATCGGCCGATAGGAAGAGAGGAGGGTTTGAGATTGGGGGGCAGGGCAAGAGCTGTTCCAAGGCGGAGCAAGAGCGACGCAAAGGAATCCCTTGGACTGAAGAAGAGCACAGGTTCTGTCGGTTACTTGTCAGCTTTCTTTTGTTTTTCTTCTTCTTTTCTTTAAGCTCATAGCCTTTTAGTCCAACAGTCTATAAATCTGTTCAAGAAAAAAGTTGCCTTTGTTATGGTGCATCTATTATGCTAAAACAAGGAACTTTTTCTAATTGGAATCATCCAAAAATCTAGGAAATTTCCTTGAAATGTGTGGAATTTTCCTCCTGTGCTGATAGAAAGATGATGAACACATATAGGAGATGGATGATGATGATAATAGGTGGCTGATAAATTAATGAAGATAGATGATCAAAACATACTATTGGCGAATTTCACAGTGTGGGCAATGACCTCTGTGGACCTAAAGCTTTGAAATTTAGATAACTCTGCCAATTATTATGTAGCAACAGAACATTCCTGTCAAACTTACACATAAATTAAGATAAACTGTGTAGGCCTGTAGGACAAGGGTTTCCAAGGTGTTAAGTTGTGCTGTTGATCTCCCCTTCCTACTTTGATGATTCCAGTTAGAGATTTGTGGAACGAGACGTTGCTGATATAATATCTTGCTATGTCTAATGACACCCATCCAGAGCTCATCTCTATGTGCAAAATAAAAGCTAAATAAGGACCATATAAGCATGTCCATGGTTCGTATGTGCTTTTGTTTGTGTCCTAGGATTAGGTAAATCTCCACTTGTTGTGAAGCCGGTTTAATTTGGGATTGATAGAAGGAATTGGTCTTGAATCAACCTCTTCCTGTAGGCATGAACAAACTTCTTGTGCATATATTTTTCAGTCAACTCTGTAATGGACATCTGTGGCAAATTGAGCTTTAAATGCTTGTTGTCTTTGGCCTAAAGACCAGTCCTGCTTTATTCTTGACAGTGGTTGAAAATGCATTAGTAAGATTTACAACCACCAAATAAATAAATAGAACTTCAGCACCTGGTATGACGTTGAAAATGAGTATGTGCTGAAATATTAACTTACAAATCTGGTGCTGCTCTTTGAATCTAGGCATTTGTCCTTTTGACTTCAGTTGTGGACATATATACTAAATTTTCTAGGGTTTTTTTACTAGATTCTTCTCAATGATCTTTTCCCGTTTGGATGGAATCTCTAGAAATGAAATATCGTAGAGACGTAGAAATGATTTTTCTTTTTTTGGCTTGATTACATATTTGAAAACTATATTAGGATGAGAATTTATGGAGTTCTGGGTCTATTTTATGTAAATATGAAAATCTGGCAGTTATCTTTGAAGTCTCTCATTTCTTGCTAATCTTCTAGGCTTTTCCTTCTTGGCCTTGACAAGTTTGGAAAGGGTGACTGGAGGAGCATATCGAGGAATTTTGTCATCTCAAGGACTCCTACCCAAGTTGCAAGCCATGCTCAAAAATACTTCATTCGCCTAAATTCTATGAACAGAGATCGCCGGAGATCAAGTATCCATGACATCACAAGCGTGAATGGTGTTGATGTGTCCTCTCCACAGGGGCCTATAACTGGTCAGGCCAATTCAAATCCCGTGGCTGTTGGATCAACTATGAAACATCCTTCACAGGCAAATGTGCCAGGGGTAGCCATGTATGGGCCACCCGTCGGTCACCCTGTTACCGGCCATGTGGTTTCAGCAGTTGGTACTCCGGTTATGCTTCCTCATGGTCATGCTCCTTATGTCATGCCAGTTGCATATCCTGTGCCTCCGCCTTCGATGCATCCGTAGCCCTTTAACTCCTATTGAAGTTTAGCTTCTGACTAGGTTCTAAATGTCGATTGAGTTTAAGAAATAAGTGCCAAAAAATATATGGGAGGTTCTGGGTTTTTCTGGTGCAGTGGGTACCCAGCAATTGTTCACTTGTGAAGATGCTTGCATGATCAAAGCCCTTTTCACTTGCGCTCTGGGAGATAATGATCCTTATCTATATGTATTTGTATATTTGTCAGATGGATGTCTGCCAACTCTACTTTGATGTAGTGCTGTCTACAGCCAAGACATGTTATTGGGACTACTACTTACATTGACCTTTTGGATACTATGCCTTTTAGTTGCACATATTTGTAAAGCTATGAAAGTAAGCCTCATATGCGGATCGTTCTTCTTTCAGCTATAATGTGATCTTTCCCTTGTAGTTCTACATAAATAATGTTGCTTTGACCATTCTCTGTAGACAGTAATGGTATTTATTTTTAGCATGAAGGCATCTAGGTCTTTTTTCCAGGCTTGGATTCTTGGAGACAACATGTCAGGCAGAAAATTGATATATATAAAGTACCATCACTAATGATCTTCATTTCCTTCAATTTGTAGGTACAAATATTGGATTGGTATTTGATGAGCAACTTAAATCAGATAGTAATATCTTCAATTTGAAGGTGTCTCTTGTTGAAGTATTTCTATTGACAAGTTATTGGTTACAGTTAAGATATGTTCAAATGTTTCAGGAGACTTTGTTACTTCTCCAATGTGATTGGTTTCGCACAATTGCCTGTTTTGCGGTAGAGCAATTCTTACCATACACTTATTCAAGTTATTATGGAAACAATTGCTGATTAGATGCTGATACACATCAAAGTACACTTATACATCAATTAATATACATCCTGTTGTTTTCTTTCTGCATCATATTACTTGGAGTTGCATGTTAGCTGTAGCTTATATATGAGTGATGTGTAGTCTTTATGGCAAGAAAGACTTTAAACTCTTCAATATGATTTGCATAATGCCATACAAGTTGTGTAAGAACTGCAAAGAGAGGTGATCCAGTTCCAGCTGTTCCTCATTGGGATTGAAGTGTTGCATTCTTGAGTGTCTGATCCACAGATGACATCCTTCACAGGCATTAAGCATCAAATAATCAACACCTATTTCTATAATGAAGTTTCTGAGATCCTGCCCCAACTAGAAACAAAGCTTACTTTTGCTACAATCACATGCACAACAACAGAGTCTCATCCTAATCCAGTTTCATTCTTTATGATACTTGTTAGGCTTATTATAATCTAACATTACTTCTTCTTGCTATAGCCCCTACAGTGCAGTGCAGGGACAAACATGCCTCAACCAGTTAGACCAAAGAAGCTTTGAGATTTGATCACCCTACACCAAGTCCAGGATTAACCCATCTTTAGTCCAAGGAGGCAGTGCCAGTTTTGTAACAGTGGATGCAGAAATCAAAACAAGTTTATATTTGTAAGAAGCATCACAAAGAAGTGTGGATTCAGCGAAATATGCAAGATGGAAGAAGTCATTGTCCGTACTTGTTTGGGGAGGATCTCGAGGAGACAAGTTGTCATTTAGTAATATTGAACATTTGATTAGGAGCTAAGTATTCTCCAGCTGATGGTGCTGCGAAATGTGAGCTTTCTTTTCCTTGGAGTTGCTGAACCAGAGCTTGCTTGCTGCTGGATGGAATCTAAATGGCTGTATTCTGAACAGTGATCATGAAACCTGGAGCTTACTTGCCGCAAATGGCAGGTAGTAAGTCTGGATAACCATTAGCACATCCATGGCTGTGTTTGGATCTTGATACATGATGCTGTGTAGTCCAAGCTTCCATGGTGGAAATTAGCTGTTGATGAAGGTTGAAGGTTCAACATATAGGTGCCTCTTCTTCTTCCATGAAATGCTGCAGATTGGCACTATTAAGCAACCAGGACTTCGAAGATGGAAAGATCAAAAGCAGCAACAGCATTTCTGTTCTTTGTTCTAACAGTGGCAAATGAAACCACTCAATATGGTCAAAGTGGTGAGAGAGAGATGGATTAATATACAGATGAGTTGCAGAGTTGGAATGGGTTTTGTCCCCCTCAACACTCATCAGGCTGCGTGCAAGTTCGGGAATGGCGCACATGCGGGTGGGCGGGGCTTCCTCTCTCTCTCTCTCTCTCTCTCAA